TTTACTATGAATTGTACCGAAATATTGGTTCTGTTTCGAGTCCGACTAGAGTGGACTAATTTGTTTATGAACGAGAGATCGGTATTAGACATTACACTAAAAGGAAATAAGAAGAACTTAATTAAATCGGAAAGAACTAAGCACGGACATCCCGGGTATGTGTATGGTTCTTTTTCATTTAATTCATTTCAGCATTGATCTTTTCAGCATGGATACGTCCAATGGACAAACATGGAGAACACTATTTCAGTTAGATAAGTTCAGTTTGGAAATGTATAACGTGTCCACTATTAAATATGCAAATTTTTAATGAGAAAACGCGTATTGGGGTGCCTGTAATTGTGCCCTGTCCACGTGGTGTGTTGAGAGATATTTAGAGGTGGGCTCTTGTTAAAGGATCAAATTACCGGTTAATTTTCATCAAAATCAAGCGTGATGCATTTGTTGACTAATAATCACCATTTATAATTTGAGAGACAACTGCATCCTGCAAACATTTGATTGTGATTGGTCCAATATTATGAGTATAATCAATAATTCATGATATTCACGAATAATTTAGGCCTTCCGTTGAGCGAAACAAAACAAAAGTTCCAAATTGCATACAAAACTAGGAATGGTTTTTGAAAAAGGATATCTCCATTTCAGTTATTTTCCCCTCCTCGGGTTAGGTATTTGTTAAAATATCTGGATTTGCTCCCGATTTACTTATTACACCGTTACACACAATTAATATGTCTCTCAGTCTCAAAATGTATTTACGTCCTTGCTATCAGAGCGGTTTTAGTTTGATTTCCAGGTATAAAAAGTAAAGATAGCCCCATTTAAAATGTAGCAATTTTACTGTGCCAGCAGTATGTGCAGTGTCGGTCTGAAAAACGATGACTCATGCCGTGAAATTCTCAAAAACAAATATCTGCTAACATTCCCATCAATGATTATTTGGAAAAGAGCAACGTATGTATTCGAAAATGACAACAAAATAAAAAAAAAAACTGTCTGACGTGAATAGTATTAACACTAGAAATAAAAATAAGTTTCTATTGCCGACACACAACACCTACGTAAAGCAATGATTAAAATGTTTTAATACCCTACCATCTACAATTACAGATGACACTAATATCAAGGGTTTTTCTAAGAAATTAAAAAATTACACTTAACCGAGAAAACATTTTACTCAATTAATGAGCTTTCTGATTAGTGACTTTATGATTATTGACTTTATGATTAGTGACTTTATGATTAGTGAAGTAAGATGAGTGAACTGTAATTAACGAATCTGCTGTAACTTTTATAATCTGTTTGTTTAATTGACGCATTTGTTTGCCTATTTGAGCATTGTTGACAAATAAAGGAAGATAAATAAATGAATAAATGGATAAATAAATAAATAAATAAAGTATGTAAATGAAAGACGGATTGGATTTATTATTCTTGAAAAAGTTGATGTGTGACAACGTCACCTCAGCTAGGATATGACTAAGTCCTTAAATACGATACTTAGGATTTTTTTTTCACGCTGAAGTGTGATTCCTGTTTCACGTAACGATCAAAGGAAAATATTTTTTACACTCCGCATCCATGACAAAAAAGGGTCGACTGCTAAATAAAGATTGGAAATTTAAACAAAAACGTTGCAGCCGAGGCCCTTTTCACAGAAGACTCATTAACGCTGACTCGGTGACCGTAAAATTAGAAATGCGAGGAGGTTGAAAGGACGCTTTAACGTTGTTCCTGAAGAGATCCGAAATATCATGCACCTCGGCGATCACTCGTATGTTACGTATGATTTTACTTCACGTTATTCGAGTCGAAGTTTAATTTAAGCTCAGTTTCAAGCAGTCCTCGGGCGTGTTCAACGATCTTACAGATCCTTCAAAATTAGTAAGTCTGCTCTGAAGCTGAACTTTGTTCTAGGGCTGTTGATGGATTTTAACGAAATAAGAGAAAACATAAAGGATTGGTGAAAAGATTGCACCTATCGTTAAAACATTAGAAAAAACCATAGAGGTGGTGCGCAACTCATGTACATAATTCAATCAAGTAACCCTTAAATTATCTATTACCTCCTGTGTTTACTACAGGAGTAGGAGAATAATAGGTTGCAATTTTAATTTTGCTTTGCGGGTGAACTCGAGGCCGACGTCGAGGACATTTTGGAACCAAAAACGTCCCTACGGAAAAAAGGTGCATCCATCCGACTCACGGAGATGAGGTAGGCGACCCTCCTTCCGATGATAATGATAATAAAGTATCAAAATTGACTATGAAACGAAAAAAGCAGTGAAATTTTAAGCGTTTTTCTACCTTATGACAGATAATGGAAATACTCAAAGGTATCTCTTTGGGTATAAAAAAGTATCACACCTACGTAAAGTTCTCATTGTTATGGGGAATGCTTCAGACAAAACGTGAAAAATGAAACGAAAAAATACGATTGACATCACAAGTTACGAGGTTTTCGTCAAGAAGTTTATTCGAGTACGATGCATCTTCGACCTCATGTAATGATACCACTTATTTAACCTGACGATCGTTAAAGTTGCATACCTTCTAAATTGAAGGAGTTCAGTCGTGCCACTATTCAAGAACATGCCTCCTGTTGGCGCCGCTAGCGTCACCAATATTTAGCCTTCATTCCGTCAGCTAGGCAAGCCGCCCGCATCTCATGTCGCGCCGCGCGCCTAGTTCCGTCGCGGCCCGCCCGATCGCGCTGCGGGCTCTTTATTCGCCCCTCCGGCTTTCCTTTAGATATTTCAATTCTTTTATTTATTATTTTGTCTGTTTCAATATATAAAATTCATCTTTGATTACTTTTCTCCATAAATCCTCAATTATAATACTCACTGGTGCCTTCCTTCACAACCTTTTTCAACTTAAACTACGCGTCCGCGCAATTCCTTTTCAAATCCAGTTTGACCGGTTGGCCCGTGTGCCATTTCCACATTATGCATCGCTTACCACTCTATAGGAGCGTCTATGGATATGTTCGTTCGCCCCGCATACGTCTTACATGCGCTGTAACCTTCCTTCTTATACAGTTACGTCTTTTCTATCAATCAAGCGAGTATGTACTCTAAATTCTCCTCCTTTTCTCTATTATTTTCATTTATAATAAATTCATGTAGAGTTCCGGCCTTCTGCCAATAAATAATTCCTTTCGGTCTCTAAATTCATTCGCGTTACTCGTGTCCGGACACGATTGCCTGCGGTCCGAGTGCCGCGGATAAATTCTTCCAAATTTCAATAAAGTAAATGTTCGTCTCTCTCTTTAATTAGCTCCCATCGCGCTACTCGTGACCGGTCACGATTGCCTACGGTCCGGGTGCCGTGGACGACCCTTTCGGCTAATCTTTTTAGAAGACCTACATTAAACTTTCACCTCCACCCGTTTAAAAGACATCGCTACGTATTGCGTGCACATCACAAAAACGCAAAGGCCGCTATAATTTCAAAATGGGCATTTCTTCGATTATGAAAAAACCTTTAAATCCAAGCAACAGTAAGATGACTCTTTTAAAAAAAAGATTATTCGGTTAGCTTCACGTGATGCGGAAAATAAATACCAAGTTGAGCCAGTTTAAGTGCTAAGTTTCGGGCTTTTAAAATAGTTACCATAAATTTTCACGTGGTACTAAAATCACATGTTCTTCGTACGTTACAACTTTTGACTATTTGCATTTACCTGCAGACCTGATAATTCCTCAATTTTCTATGTGAAGTTAATCAAATGATTTGGGAGCTCCTTCCTGTTTCTGCAAGAAATTGGGTAAAAAGATAAACTTCGGGCACGTTTATAGGGAACGGACGATGAACTGAACTTCATTTCGCAATGAGGAACTTCAATTTTTGGCTCATGCATAAAAACAACTATCTGCATAAGAAAACGAAAGGCATATGTTGTTTCTTAAATGAGCCACAAATGGTAGTTGCTAATTGCACAATTTAGTAAAATTGGATGCATTTAATGGGAATCAGCCTAAAACGGCATCGGCATTATAGCCTACTTTCTTTTTGATGTACTATTATTGTAACAAAACAATCAAGTAGCACTAAAACGTGAAAAGGGAGTAAAGCATTCATTGTGATGAGAGAGAAATAAACAAAGCGCTATGCAGTTTAGTTTCCTGTTAAAACATAAAACGTAGTAAAAGGTATAAAATTCAGGGGGCTACGGAACTTTGTGTTTTTCAGACAATGTGCTGAAAGTATTAGGTGAGTAGATTACGTAGAGATTTCTTGCGTATTTTTCGAGTCGAAATCCGCTTTTAAAATGTCCACATTCTTGAAGGGATTTCAGGCGCACCGGCGGCGCCGAAATGGTGGTGAAACGATGGAAGTGATGCACTACGGCAGACATATTGCTATCTCCTCTAATTTTTCACAGATGATCGTTGAATAATATAACACAGTACAATATACTTATCAACTACAGGTAACATGAATGAGATTCGAGCCTTTGAGTTTTTGGATAAAGTTTCGACTAGAAATTCGAAAGTCGTTCTTGTTATTATAATATATGAGGAGTTTAAATAATATTCGATGGAATATTTCGGTTTAATATTGGATGGAAGTCGTAAAAACCCGGGCTCGTTTCTGATTGGTGCAGATGACATAATTTCGTTCGGCGCGAAACCGAGGCGTTTTAGTTTGCGGAAAAGTTGCGCCTTTTAAAATGCATATTTCTTGGTTTTTGAGTGACTTCTTCGCGTTTGAATGTACGCATCGTGTTCCACGCGTAATTTACCTTCAGGTAACTTAACTTGCAAGTCAAATTTCGTTCACGGTTCAGTGACCCATTGAACTGAGTATGATTGAATGCACCTCAATGCACGTTGAGGACCACAGTGGATCTCATAGCATCACCAGCGACATATTGAGAATAAGTTTCAGACCACAGTTGATTAATATTCATGATAAGGAGAACCTCAGATCGATTCGAGTGGAGTCTAGAAATTTTAAACTGAAAGCTGAAGAGGAGCATGACGTTGATTTACCTGTATTCTGGTTGCGGACAGGCTTGCGCCACGCACAGAAGGACGGCTCCCTCATCTTGCGATACTTGAACAGACGCTGTGTGCTGAACGATGGCCGGTGCTACGACTCCTCGGACATCTGAAACACATGACCCAATCCCTGAATATCATTCCGGAATTCTGTTTCTTGTTTCTCGAAGGGATGGCAAAAATTATTTACCTTTCAACCGCCTTGAAAGTAAACGAAAATTGAATAGGAAAATAATTTTTACTCTGAGATGGAATTTTAAAGACCTTGTTGAGGATAGCACGAAAGCAAATTCTAAAACAGGTGAAGAATATGAAGTACGCAAGGAAAATTTAAAATTTCATCTATGTGTTTTAAATTTCATCTAAAATGTACCACCAGTAACCACGATTCCTACCCCAGTCGATGAAGATTATATATGGGGTAAAACCATTAGGCTATCAAGCAAGTTAAACTAAAAGTCGATCAATCTTTCGTATATCAGTTTTACCAGAAAACCTCTCTCTTCCTCTGTAAGAATCCAGCATACTTCGACGTAAGCACATTTCGTCGTTTATTTCACGAAAGAACGTAACTCCATTTCAATGTTGCCAAAGTCTCCCTCGCAAATTGCATATTAATCAAGAGAATTTTGGGAATTTCTGACTGAAAATTTCACTGATTTTTCCGCAGATCCCGTGCAAAAAACAGAAAAATGTTTGATAAAAATTGCACGCGCACATGTTTGTCAATAAATTAAGTGCCTGAGTCAATTTGGCAACCTTTTAATGAAGTTACGTTCCTTCGTCCCGGAGACGACGATATCGACGGTGAAACTACCAAACCACGTATCTTGGTTTGCGACGTCGCAGACTTCCTGTCATACTTCATTTTTTAAATGAAAAACTACTTAACGTCCAGTCTTGAAAATTTCTGTGATTTTCCCTCTTCGTGCGGAGAAAATTCTGTGAAAATTTCAAGGAATGATATTGATTTGGTCTACTTCAAAAAAATAAAATGCGAGCGTAGATTTTTAAACACCGCAAACGAGATACGTGGTTTGGTAGTTTCACCGTCGATATGTAGATAGGTACACAATTTTCCGGATGTTTGAAACGCGTAAGGAAGTGAACGTGCTCTCTATCGAAGTTTATTCAGAATGTCTGTCATTCCGTCTTCACTGAATGAAAGTGACTCCGTGCTGGAAGCGCGCAGTTGTTCGATGATGCAGGGATGTCAAGAGGGTACAGGCGTTTACAGCATGAAAGACAAAGCGAAAAAAAAGAGCTTGAAATTTACGGGCTGGAACGTGCGACGCTCAACCTGTCTTGCTCGAGCTGAGTCTCTCGACCATCAACAAGCAAAGACAACTTTTCTCGACTTTTTCTTTCGTCTCAGCTTGAAGTTTACGCCAACTTTCTCCCGATTTATTTGTGTTAAACTCAACTTTTGTTTCCTCATAAATTTCTGCGCACTTTCAATTATTTAACTTTATACACCGATCCCCGGGAGTTTTTTTCCCCCTTCTTAAGTTCTCCATCGTTTTTAGATATGCCTAAGTACACTTTTATTTCATGTAACCGGGCCCTAACTTTCCTGGCAAGCCGATCCTTTGGGGATGCAAGGAGCTTAATAAAGATGACGGAGACAAAGTTCTTGAATCTTCGAACTTGACTCCTCCGATACAAGATTAAACGTGAGGGTGCCGTCTGTGAACTACGGGAAATGATGGATATTGACCACTTGACATTCTTTCCCTTTGAAACTTAGAGACTGCTCTATCGTTGAGCTGGCTTTACAACAGGGGAATTTTTTGGTTTGTTTGTTAATTGAGTTTTGTGTTTCATCCGGGCTTATGATTAGAACTAATTTTAAATTATAGCGACAAAATACTGCGCGTTTATTCGATATTGTTGAATGATCACTAGAATGCTCCTAATTTTTGAAATTTGAGAAAGCCGTGCACTTAGTCGCGAAAGTGAAGAGGTTCTTTCTATTGGATAAGTGCAAGAAAGTTTTAATGGAACTTTCACCGAGAGGTTATGGAAAAGTTACGGGCAGAATGCGTACCCGACCCTGTTTTGAACCTGCTTTGGGATGGAAAAATAGTTCCTTAACCAGAATTTAAACTGTTGATCGGATCGCGGTAGTAATAACAGATATGACATCAGAAAAATTATTAGAAGTACTAAAAATAAAGCAAGGGACAGGAAAAGCAACAGCAGAATCAGTGTTAGACGTGCTGAGATCATGAGAAATGATGGGGTATAATTCCCGTATGAGACATACGTGCATCGTTGACATGATAGATATAAGGTGTTGATGTTACGATTTGTTCATTAAAGTAGATAAATAGTAAAGGGATATATTCAAAGTCAATTAAAAAATTAAATTGTAGTAGTAGTTGTTGGTCGCGAAAAAATCAAAACATCTTTTTTCAAATGTAGTTTAGAGTTTGCCTCTGTTTCAGGAAACAGTTTTCTTTCTCGGTGACAGCATCCTAAGGCGGATGCAGCAAACCAAGTTTTTAAAAAAAAAAATTTGCTGATAAACCAGTGATTGATCTAGCAATCTCTGGAAGCACTGTTATGAAAGGGCTTCAAACCTTCTCTGATTACTGTACTAGCAGACAGAACGCATTTTTAAAGTTGTCGAATCTGGTCATTCTTCTGGGAACGAATGATTTCCTGAAGAGTGGTCGATTTGACTACACTCATTATTATGATCTCACAACATATGCTGTCTCATCGTCCTTCAAGAGAATAATTCTTGTCAAAATGCCTCCTATCTTCAAGAAACCCTTTGTATCCAAGGAAATCCACCAAGCCAATATCTGGATTGCTTCAATAGGTAGAGGCAAAGGACTCCAAGTCATTGAGGCTCCTCAGAATGTGAGCAAAGATGGGGTTCACCTAACTGAATGGAGAATGAAGGCATTGGCAACTTCTATGTTTAAACATGTTTCTGAATAGGTTTGTACTTGACTCAGAATTATTTTCCTGTGGCTTCATAACTAAATTTCGCTTTTCTAGTTCCGAATGAGGACCAGAGCCCATCAAAGAACTGTACCAAGATGTGGATGGTTTTGGGATTGATGGTGCATGATGTTGGATGGTCTTCCTTTAAGAACCAATTAAATTATGGCACATGTAGAATTTTTACAGTTTCTTTAAAATTCATCATTTCTTGAGTCGATAATGTGAAATGTTTTTGTGTGTTTCAGGTCAAGTGATGTGTCAAGTCATGTATCCTGCAATCATTTATTTTCTCTCATCATGTATCTCCAGTTCTTTTTTTATTTGTGGATTTTATCTTATGTTCCTGACTGATGGTCCTATGTCTTCATAATTAATAGGTTTCTCTTTTATTTTCTTGTTTTATATTGTTTGTTTTATTCTTCAGATTTTTTAATCTCTTTAAAAGACTGTTGAAGTAAGTATAGTATAACTATAGTACGAGTGTTCATTCAAAGACCCTTTTTACCCCTCAGACCTGTCAATCAACACACTTTTGGGAAATGGCTTGTACAAGTTATTCCCCCAGAAGAAGCAATGTACCCCCCCATTGATACAAGTCCATCGAAAAAAATCACGCCACGCAAAAAATCGATTTACCGACCACAGGAAAAACACAATTTAAATTTAGATATTATTCCTGCTGAAATATTAGATATTTTATCAAAAATTACCGGTCGAAAAAATCTTCTCAAATGCTCTACACAGGGCAAAAATATAAGAGTCTTCACTAGATTTAAATTTTGTGTCATTAAAAATGGATACCATGGCTCAAACAATATCTTTTTCGATATCGATGCAGATGAAAAAATTATTAATCAAGGATGCCATAATTGTGTTTGCGCAGCAACATATTACAGTGCACACTACAATCGCCCTAATTTAATGGAAGGGCATCCGTTGTTAATCGCAGAGGAAAGCTATGAAGAATTTGCTCGTAGAATAGTTAGGAAATCATTTGCCATTTGTTCCTCAGGCACTGTGATTTTATTTCTTGACTTTAATTTTCCTTCCATTTCCAAAGTGTCTTAATTTTAAAATTAAATTTAAAATTTGTTTTAAATATATATTTTTTGTCTATATGTACGTCACTCAAATGCTAAGTTGTGAAGAAAAATAATTTTTTATGTTCCTGTCCGTAAGAAACCAAATTAAATTTCAAAATTTTTCCATTGTTAATGTGCAAAAAGAGGAGGAATAAATTTACTTTTTCGGAGTTTAAAGATTAGGTCCTTGAAAATGGCACGGCTTTTGCCCGTAACATATAGGCACAAGAGCACTGTTCAGTCATATGAGTGGTGATAAGCACAAAGCATTCTTACGCCTCAGTTAAAATCCTAATCACACATTTCCATCCTAAACGAGTAATACGACGGCAAAACTTCTCAACAAGAGGGAGAAATTGATTCGAATGATGTGATTCATAATTGAGCTTGCCCAGAAGTTATTATAGATTCTGGCATATCAGAGGCGCAAAGCGCTTGAGGGGCGGACTGTCTCCATTGACGCTCTCATGCATTTACCACGAGGACACAATGAACCGAGTTCATCAGAAAGGAATCAACCAGCATTAGTTTGAAACTAGGAAAAAAAGGTTTGAAATTTCATTCCTGCATGAGCCTCAATGAAGAAAATAAACTTCAACCTCTCGCTGACTAATTTCTTTTTTTCGACTTCAGATCTAAGCAGAAGAAAATAAACGACTAGTGAAAGTCAAAAATATTCTTAACTCAAGTTTTTCAAAATATGGGTTGGTTCCTTTCTAATAAACTCAGTCCAAATGTAACTCAAAATATTCAACAGATACTCTGCTTATGAGAAAGAGAGAGAGAGAGGGAGAAATGATTTTCATTCGCAGGAAATGTCACGTTTTTGGAGGATTAGCAGGTTTGGCAACCATCCGAGCCATCCTTGACGGAATAATAAGAGTTCGCTGGTGATTCTGTTTTTCCGCGATATTGAATCCGTTGTTTGCATCACAAATATACGTTACAGCGCGGCCTCGGCTCTGTTTACCTCCTTTGAATAATTTTTACCTTACCGATTTACATCCATCCTCGTCCTAGACGCACGCCGTGATGTATAATTCTTCCTGCCTCCGCCTTCTCTTGTTTCTTT